TTATAAAATAATAATATTTTGGATTTATAAAGATATAAATTAAACGGGCGCTGTCCAAAATCTCGAAATCCTGACTACGGCATATATGCATATCACATGATTTATTAAAAAATTTTTTATTAGGAAGTCGTTGAAATCGCAATTCATTTTATTAATGATTTAATATTTTGCTTTTACAATAAATGAAAAAATTTTCAGCAGGATTATTTTCAGATAACCTGAGTCTCACCCGAGACATATTAATTCAAAATAATTCTCATGACACACTATAACACATGATATAAAATACCATATATTACAAATTTGTCATATTAAACGCAACTATAACATAAGATTATAATTAGATTTTGTACGAGAACTTAATTTAACTACATTGTTTATATTGCATCAAGTAAGTTCTACATAAATTTAAATTAATTAAAATGTAAAACAATATATAATTTCTTGATTTATTAAGTTAATATAAACAATACACCTCTAAGAATTGATCAAATGGTAAGAATAGGAACAATTTCTTTTCAATTGATTTTTGGTAACTTTAATAATATTTTCATAACCTCAATGACAACGAATGTTTTTTCGGTACTTCGATGAAAGCAATTTCATGCGTTAGAGCAGTGATTAATTCCTTCACTAAAATAAAAATTCAAAATATTAAATTAGTAATTTTGTAATCAAATGTTGAATGAAATCCTTCTTGCTTTTACCTTGGGATTATCTAATTTGCAATATTAATCAATTCTTTCTGCAACTTCATCGTGACTGTTTGTATCAGCAACATTTAATTTCAAAATTTGACTATTACTCGTACATAAAGCTGACAGGTCAGCATAGAATGGTGTTTCAACATTTACAGTAGCATTAGTAACTAAATATGTTTAAAATGGCTGTAGTGTCTTAAGTATATGATAGTAAGACTCGAAATAAACACCGGTTTGTTCAACGATAAATCTTTATTCTGTAGTTTGAAATTTCATCTGATGCGAGGGGAAAAATTGATCGGTAAAGCTAACACCACCAATATCGGAATAATCCTATGCTCAGCTAAAGCTTTCTCATCACTTGATACTACGTCTCTAAAATAAAGTGAATACACTCCAAGAAACACCAGGCCATTTCAAAGTTGATCGTTCGGATTTTGTGATTGGGTTGTACAAACATTTCGACCAATAACATTTGCGATCAA